TCTGTATTAAGGACTCACCTCACGCATAATTCATGAGAATTAATGTCTATTTATTTATTTTAATATTAATGAGAGGGTCTCTATGGATAAATGGTTGATGCAGACAAAGACAGGAATATGGAGTGGTGCTGCTCTCAGTCTGTAAGCTCTTTATGGGGTTTTTCAGTTTAATTGCTTCCCTGTTGTCTGCTCTCACATGCGAGTGTAGATTTAACCTATAATGACCGACGGGAGGAAGGAAAGCAAAACACGGACAGGCAGATTTGATCATTTTAAATGGCCCCCGGCTGTTGTAAGTTAAGCTTAGTTTGTGGCTGGGTGTGTTTCTTCCCAGCATCCCCAGGGTGGTGCAGCAGTGTGAATGAGAGTGTTTGTCAGCCAAAATCTGGAAGATAGGGGCGGGCTGGAGGCATGGCAAATTAAATGAGGTGAAGAAACAGTGGGATTAAAAAGTGAGAGGATGATATATGGAGAGAACACAGTTCGGATAAACAGGAAACGATCGAGAGTCAGAGAGACTTTTTATTGATTGTTTACATCAAATCAGTGCTGAAATATTAAGTGGTTACTTTTATTGCTCAACTATTTCATTCTTTCTACATGTAATGCCAAATATTTTTACACTATTAAGTTGTTTTACCATTTTGTTATTGCAAAACAAAATTAAATGTAGTAGCTTATTTAGAGTACATGCAATCGATCAGCGTTCAGTTTCCCACCTTTGTCATCAAAAAAAGGGTTTTAATCCTTGATGTTTTTTTTTTTTATAGATCCGCCTCAATCAGAACATCATAGAATTGCTGTTTTCTGATTTCTGCTACAGGTCTTTTCAGGTATTTCTCTGTCAGCTATTTCCATCTACAGACCCAAAAACCTTACACGATGTTTCAGGTTTGCCAGTTGGATGGAGACTCTCTGGTTAACATTAGATGTTAAGGATCTGGACATTGATTGGAGCATTTTATGACATGGATGTGTTCTGATCTAAGCCGTTCCATTGTAGCTCTGGCTGTTTATCCTGATGGAAGGTATCTGCACTCCAATATCCAGTATTTTGCAGCCTTTAATAGATTTTTATGTATGATTAACCAACAACTCTAACCAGTAACCTGGTCCCTGCTACTAAACAGGATCCCCACAACATGATACTGTCACCACCGTGTTTCAAAGTGGTGATGATGTGTTTAAAGTGATGTCCAGTTGTAGTTTTTGGCCACACAGATTTTTGATAGTAGGACAACGGTTGAACGTTAATCTAAGCTAACCAGAGCATTTGTTTTTACTTGAATACTGTTTTATGTGTTTTATAGCAAACCAAGGACTCTCAGCAGTGTAATTTTTTAATACACAATGGCTATGTTTGAGAATGCATAACTAAAAGTTGGCTGTTAACTGTCATATAAAAAATATCACAGTTCATCTAAACAGGAAATGATCAAGAGACAGGGTAGAAATGGAAGAGATGATTTAACAACGGATTGACAAGATCAGAAAAAGAGTCTAATTAGCCAGCTAGAAATATACAATATACAATATATCTTAATGCTTTATAAATAACCTTGTGCTACTGGTTCTGTTCTGTGTCCTAACATGAGTCAGACATACAGTAACTGTGCTTTTGCAGACTTTATCTCAGCATTTTCTTTTAATGGTCTTAACCTACCCTCAAAAGTCATTGTGTGTTTGCTTCTGTTTTTTTTTTTAAATTTCTGTGTCGAGCACAATATGAATGTAATTGAACATAAGAAAAGGTGAGGACTTTTATTGACTCACAGCTGCAATGCTGGGTTGGTGTCCCTTGGAAGATGTGAGGATGCTTCCAGCGGGTTTTCTGGCATCTAAAAGCGGTAAAAACAAAGTGGCAGGAGAGACAGTTACATGATCAAATCCGACAGCCTCGAGGGCAAGGGCAATGATCCATCTATGTGCTGGTGTGCCTGTTTGTGGGGGGGTAAAAACAGAGGAGAATAAATCAGAATCTGTGTTTCTTTCTTTTTGGATAGAAAATATATAAAATGCATCTGCATTGCATTAATTATTGATGTGTTGGCATTTTGGCTTTTTTTTTTTTTGATATTTCACCGTCTGTGTGTATTTTGGGGCCGTCAGCAGGTTCTAAAGTGGGTCCTCCAGGAGCCATCTGTCTTTAGGCTACTTTCAAACCCGTCTGCACTGCTTATGTGTGGGGGGGCGTATGTGTGTGGGTGTTCTTTGTGTGCAGCTGCTAAATGTCAGACTGTGTGTGTGTCCAATCGCACTCAGGGAAAGGTGAAAAGAGAAAGTCAATGTGCTTCTCTATGTACCTATTTCCGCACAGTTTTTCTGTGAGTGTGTGTCTGCATCTGTGTGTATTTCTGTCTGTGTGGGTGTTTCAGATTCACTAAAACACCCCAGACCGGTGCTTTCTTGACTGGCAGCCAAATCTCTGTTTATTCTTGTCTGCAGATTTGTTCATGCTGTTTTTGTTTTTCCACCCAGTGCTGAAGCAACCGAATTGAAGTCAAAAGGAAAATATTCCCTTTCCTTTTGCTCCTGCTGAGATGCACCTTCATCTTCAAATATCCTCAGAATATCTTTATTGCTTTGAAGAGAAAAGTTTGAAATCTAATTTTGCTTTTTAAGATCTTTATAAGACCCATCATATGGGAGTAAATCTGAGTAGATTCTATCTTCTTTCACATTGAAAGGCATGATTTTAGATAATACACCAGTATGCCCCTTTTCACATCAACTACACGTATTTCCTAGTTGGCTTATTTCCCTGTAATTAAAAGCTCTTTTTTTTAGAGTCTCTAGTCATTCGAATCTGATTTCCTCACAACACATATTCTTTCAATACAGGGGGTCTGTTGACAGACTGTTGACAGACCTTCTATATGAGTATTGACTCCAGAGAAGGGGCTGGAAATCAATAATAGATCTATACACACAAAACTGCTAAACAAGATTGTTGGTTTAATTTTTCATATTATTATTGTTGTAAATTGAAAATACAAATCACATTGATCTCTGTCTAACGATTCATCAAAAATGGCACTTTTTATTATTCTTCCAAGAATGAGAAAGGACAAGTATATATAAAAACCAGGGTTTCACTTCTCCCAGCTCTGCTCTAGACAAAGATGTTGCTAACTTTTATAGCTCCTTTGTGCTTTACGGTGTCACTTGCAGCAGTTTGGATAAACAAAGACAAATGGTAGTTGTGTTATCAGATGTGCACCGGAGAGGCCATTCTTTCACAGTTAAACTAAAACCCTGTATCAGTGAAAGAGACAAGCTTACAGCGACCTAAAAGCTGAGCTGGCAAATGTAAATGTACCCCGAAATAACACTTTTCACAGAAAACAAAACCGATTTAGAGCACATGTAAAAAAGTTGATACTTAGATCACCTAAATCCAACAAATGCAATGCAGACATGATTTTATAACCAAAGCATAATGTTAACTTTGTGATTTGATCAATTTAGTTTGCTCTTTTTATTTTTTATTTATCTATTTATTTTTTTTTTTCAGAGATGTTTTACTTTGCCGCCATATCTCACTTCCAGTCTGCATCAGGACATTCCCATCCAATGCAGATGCCTGGCCATAGATAGTAATGTTTTTGGAGAATCGCCGGTGGCCTGAAGGACCCTCTTTCACTTAAACTTGTTCTTTTGTCAGATCCACTGTGTTTTGGGGTTCATAATAGTGGCTGCATGTTGTAACCCAGCTGTTTATTTTGACTGCTTGCATTATGATCTTTTTTTAAAGCCTCATTTTCCACAACTTAGCATCTAACCTTCATATGTAAGCACGATGTAAGTTACTTTAACATAATAAACATAGCAAATTAACCATCTCATGCATGAATTATGATAAGTTAAGACAGGATTTTTACTAAGTGTTTTATACGTTCTTAGGAATGTAAAACAAGGTTTGAAAACAATTTTTTTTTTTTATCTTTGACGTATAAAGAAATATTTTTCTGTTCATTCAAAGGTACTTTATGCAATGTATACTTATTAGGAAATCAATATCAAAGTAGTTGCATAGCAGTTGTAATTTAGTTTTACAGTTGTGATATAGTTTTCTGTCGGAATGGTGGTTCCTCTACTCCCCTGTAGAAACCAAAATAGCCAAAGTGTTTGGTCTTTTTCATCTGGGATTCACTGACTTTTTTTCCATTGCATTGATCAAAAAATGGAATTGTTCTGTATGGGATGATGCAATTAATTCCACTAGATTGGACTATATGCATAAATGCCCAAAATTGAAGAAAGGGTCGACATAATCTTCTGTGAACCTGGGCTGCAATAAAGATCTGTGAGCTAAGCTAAAATGTTCTGTCTGCTGCAGGGAACCAACCAAACCAACCTTTACAACATTGTTAACGGCCACAGCAAGCAGAAAGAAACAGATAAAAGCCCCAGAATTCAAACTTGTGCACCTTTTTAGGGTTTTCAAACATTATTGAAGCATTTTGCGGTATAATAGCTGTTTCTGAATGAAAATAAAAAAAGGTTTTAGATAAATACTTAACTGCCTACCACAAATTAACTACGTTTACATTCGATTCTTTTCAGCATTGTCATCTGAGAACTTTTAATATCATCCTACATTGTATTTGCCCTGCTGTGGCGTCCAACACTGAAATGTTACACCTCATTTACACTGAGAACTCATTTATATTCTGATTACTGAGTCACTAATAACCAAGTACAATGTAATGTATTTATTCACATCTGTTTTATGCTGACTGTTGTATAAAATGGGGTTAAAAAAAACAACGCTGAATGTTGGAAACTGTAAATCATATACCAGTCTTATGTTTAAATTTAATCTCCATGTTTACATTTTATCACTGTTGCACTTTGTCTTTAGTGCTGTACTGAACAGAATTTCTTTTTTATACACTCTGTGTGTACAAAATGACAATAAATAAAATAACAATAAAGTCTGTCTAAGTCGAATTTTTTTTATTACTGTGTTGACTGATGAATTTTATGTGTTGTTTCAGGTGACCGATGTGAGTTTGACCGGAGGCAGGGTCACTGTGTACCCGGCGTCTGTCGCAATGGAGGGACATGCCAGGAGCTTTCTGGTGGAGGTTTCCGTTGCAAGTGTCCCCCAGGAGCCTATGAGCACCCTTACTGCACCGTCACCGCCCGATCCTTCCCACCAAAATCCTTTGCTATGTTTAGGGGCCTCAGGCAGAGATTCCACCTCTCCATCTCACTAAGGTCAGTAAATGAAGGAGTTTAAAGCTTGCAATTAGGATGTCGTTCTTTGTTGTCAGCTTTTTGTCTGCTTCTATTTCTCATCATCCTGCCTCACTCACACTGAGATCCATAACCACTCCTCTGTGATTCTCATTCTCTTACAGGGTATCTTCTCCTTAATCTATTTATTTAATCTCTGTGCGAGATCGATCCTCTAACTCATCTTTTTCTCCCTTTACCAACTCTTTCCATTGAGAAGTGAGCTTTCCCCACACACCCCTCTTTCATCCATCAATTTACTGGCTTCACTGTCTTCTCTCCTTCCACTTTGAGTTCTTATCTTACATCTGATTTCCCTTTTAGTCTCCTATCCTTTAGGCAGTGACTTAAACATGGTGACCTCATCGCTTTCACATTAGATGGGGAAAATGAAAAGCTTGCTTATCAGAGTTCCTAAAAGGTCTTTTTTAGATACTCCTTTATGGCTTTCCAATTTATTTAACCAGAATAGGAAAAAATAGAGGATTTCTTTAAACTTTTGTAATTTAAATTAATCATTTAAAGTTTTATTGACATTGTTTATTACCAAACTACCAATAAACCATAGTTTCTAGCCTTGCTTTGTCTGATATTAACAAACTCTAAGGCTAATCTACTCTACGACCCCCACAGTCATTTGTCTGCAGCCTCTTAACATACCAATTAGTTCTCTAAGGGAGATCTCAAGTGATTTTTAGGAGTGGTCATGCAGGATTATGGGATGGTTGCCATGGGTGAAGTCATCTAATGATAGTTGCCAAGGTGATTTTGCCCATGGTTTGTTGCTAGGCTGATATAGCTACCATTAGTGGTTTCTGGGAGATGTGTCCGTCTGGGCAGCTTAAAGCGCTACAGCTAATATGATGTATTGATTTGTGGTCACTGTTTGTGTGAAGATGATAAGTGGAGGAATAAAGTGAAGGGTTAACAGGGGGACTTTCTTCGTGAGAGTCTTAATTTATGAACTCTTAACAAATCTGTTGCCATTACTCTTTAACAGAAGGTTGACTGATTGGTGGCAGGTTAATATTCCCAGGATGGTTAGTAATGTTGTTTTACAGCAATATTTCGCAATAGACATGTGTCATACAAAATTGTTGCTTATTGTTTTCTATCTTTTCTTGTCGCCAATTAAAATGACTCCTTAAAACATTATAAAGATATCAAGATATGGTTCGAAAATAAAATCCTTTTTCAAGTTAGGCTATTTCAATGTAAGTCCACATATGTGAAAGAACAGTTGTCATTTTTGAGAGCAACATTAGTTGCTCTAAAAAAAAAAGTCCTTTGAATATCACTGAATATCACAGGGGTAAAAATCATCTTAAGAAGTATTCTTTTAATGATAAAAATCAACCTTCTTTAGGGTATGATACTAATGAAGAGACTCCAGAATTGGAATTTAATCCTCCTGTTCTTTATTCTTTGCTCGTAAATGAGCAGCAGGATTTATACCACCTATATATGATGAAGGGATTACTTGTCTGGGAAAACAAACAGGGAACTACATTAAATAAAAGCAGAGAAAAGCCTTTCCAAGCCTGCAGTAAGATCATTCATCTTTTCCTTGTTAAGAAATTGAAGCAGGGCATTATAGTTTTTACGGTACGACTGGGTGTCATTATTTGAAGGCACAGTCAAACAATAGACAAAACATCCTAACAAAAAGATTTATTGCATGAACTAAAAATGTCATGAGAGCTGCTACAAAGAAGTGGTGTTCAGATAAAATGACCCGTTTTATTCTTTGTTCAAAGTTTGTGCAATTTAATTTCCTTAATGTTTTATTATCAAAAACTGATTCAATGAGGGCATTTATTGGCTACATGCAGCAAACAGTGTTACAGTACTCATCCTGGAATATGTTTCCTTTATATATAAAAATATCTGCATAGGAGAGACAACATATTCTCATTTTCAGTTCGTATGAAATCGTACGAAAAGTTATTCACACTATTTCGTACGTTTTGGACGTTTTTCCTCAAAAAACCAGATCAGTGCGCATGCGCTGGCATACAGAAAAAAAAGCAGATCCGCGGACGGACGTAAAACTTGGAAAAACAGTGCAATCATCACTTATTCATGTCTCTAACTACTAGGGTTGTCACGATACTAAACTTTTCAACTCAATACCGATGCTAAGGAAAATATTCGATACTCGATACCATTTTCGATATCACAAGGATAAAATTTCAACAGAGATATTTTGATTAATAATTAAAATACAATAAATAAATAAATACAATAAACAATAAGAACAACATTTTGAGGTTGTTTTCTGTGCACAGTATTTAGCAAGCTTGATAAAAAACTTACAAAATTAAAATTAAGTGTTCCTTCCTTGGCTATGCTTTGCACACATAACAATGACACTAGCCAAACCGGTTAAGAAACTAAAATAATTCTCAGCAGCTGCAACTGTTACAAAAAAAGTCTGAAACTGAAAAGTGCACAGAATTATTCAATCACACAGTGTTCAGAAAGTGCATTTTCCTCTATTCTGCACCTTAGATGAGTGACTGTTTAGGTGCGACTGGTACTCGATACTTTTGAAAATGAGTATTGTATCCGGATACAACGTTTCAGTATCGATACTTTTTTGAGTATCGATACTTTTGACAACCCTACTAACTACGTTGCTTGCTGTTTTATATCTTAGGGTTAGGGTTAGGGTCAGGGTTAGGGCTAATTGCAATTTATATTCTATGTTCGTGAATGCTGCGTCAGATGCGCATGCGCATACGACGAAAAAAACATCCAAAATGTACGAAATTACGGTGCATAACTTTTCGCGCGATTTCATACGAACTCATAATGAGAATACACTGGGAGGGAGCTAAGGAAAGCATACACACTGGTTGACTTGGGTTATTGCACTTGCACTGCAGAAATGCACTGACGTTATAAATAATTGAAAATTACACAGACTACACAGTAGTTGACATCTGTTATTGCACAGTGAGAGAGAATAATATTGCATGAGTGAAAATGGGTAATGTTTTGCACAAGATGTCCAAGGAGGTGGGTGTTGACCCTTTGAACCTTTTCCTATCACCTCCATCTCCTTCCCCCAAGTGAAGAGTTGAACAGCTAATATTTGCCAGAAAGATGTGTTGTTGTTTTTTAAACTGTTTTTGTACATTTTTTACCCCCTTCTTTGCACTGAAACGTGGGTTACTGACAAAGCTAAATAATATGGCAACTTAACAAAAGCAAAGTCCATAATCATTTTAGATTAGATGCAATATTGCAAGACTGTTACTGTTGCCAAGGACAACAAAATAAAACTATAATTTTCTAAGACCAAATGATGACTTGTTTTTCTGTAGTTGCAGCTAAACTCAGCAGTTTAAAACACCTATGCAACATTTCAACAATAGCGCCTGATTATTTGCCCTGCTGGGATTGTTGCTTAGATATTAATTATTAATGTAAGCAAAATAATAACGGTTTGTGTTAAAGCAGTTAAAATGATTTTAGCGTTTATAGAAAGAAATGGTAATAATGAGGCTAGACGGTAAAACTAGTCAGATACACTAAGTGCGGGAAAGAGCCGAAAAACAGGCACCACAATGGTAGTTTTTAAGAGGGTGATATAGCAATGCTGCAACCCCAACTGTCAGTTATCCTCTTCTACTTTAGCAGGTTGTTTAGCAACCTGCTTAACAAATTCTGTTTAGCAGAACAAAAATGTATCTGAAGGGTATTTTATTTGTTACTAACTGGGTCGCATTATTGATGCTGCTGCTCTGCTGAGCTGAAATATGAAAACAAAAGGTTTTACCTTGAGGTAGAAATGTATTTACAGTAGAGTTGGGGAAAAAGGGTATATCCGCAGTTTATTTTATTTTTTTCTCCAGAAATATAATTTTTTCAGCTGTGCTTGAAGTCATTAAAGGCTTGTTGAACTGAACCAGTTTTAGGAATATGAAATTGAAATAAAACATAATATTTATTTATGCAGTTTCATTGCTTTTGGGAATAAGTCACTTCATTTTGATGCAGAGTTAGAATAATACATTTCCCCCAACAGTAATTACGCTCACTAGAAGATGTAAAGCATGCTTATTTGCATGTGTTTACTCCCTCTGCTTCTGTGCATCTCTGAAATGTTAACTCCACAAATAAAGGTTAGGTTGCTTCTTTTATCAGCTGTTTCTAGAAGCATGTAGAGATTAGATTTGAATGTATTAAAAAATGGCATAATGACACAAAAGTCGCATGAGAATGAGTGTTTTTCTAGAAAAGAATTTACATAAGGTTTGATACCTATCATTCCGAACTATGCTCGATTAAAATTAACATCTGCACAGTTATGTTCCCTCATATTTAGAATAAGGGGATTTTGGTTGGAGTTGCAGGGAAGTGGGCTGCCATTCAGCTGGCTTTCGACTGGGAAGGGCCATTTTGAATGGCTGCTACTATATTTACCCGCTAGAATAAAAATCTGTAACAGCATTTTCTTATGATTTTATATGGCTGAACTAGTAATTCAGTTTCTAGGGTTTCTATGCAAGGCATTATGAAGTTAGATATTTATGGGGTCTAAAGTTTAGTTTAGATTTCAGGTGGGTATAAGTATATCCATTTAATCTTACTAATAGGAGAGAGAAAATCCCCTGTTCTTTACCAGTAACTTGATGTTAGATAATAGTGAGAAAAATTACAGGAGCATTTTTTACAATGTGTGCATATGATTTTAAAACTCTATAGAGAACATTTATACCATCTCTTTAACAAGGGAAACAACTTAAGAAGTTTCTAAAAATTGTTTGCATGTTCACTTAAGTTAATTTTAGTGCAGTACTCCAATCTCGCATTGAAAAATGTAGAAAATCACAAACATAGCTTTCGTTTAGAAGATATTTAACCTCAAGGCAGGTTACAAAGGGTATTTTATTACATAACTAAAAATAGCATGTACGTGGAAATCTAATAAAAGTATGAATGTTTCATATTCTTAAAGCAAATTCTCCTTTTAGGATTTTGTTGCAAATGTATGGCGTAGTTTTTAAAGTCTGATCTGATGAATATAGTTTTAGCTTCATAGGTTTATCTCTAAAAACTAATAAGCAGTATATAAACACCATTTAAAACCCTTTTCTTAGCTTTTTTTGTATTGACATTATCAAATATCTATATGAGAAAAGCTAACATTAATAAGCTGTGCTGTAGAATCTCTTTTAACATTCGCAGAACTAACTCACTCACATGTTAACCTTAAAGAATAGATAGATCCTAACTGTAAACCATATACTGTATATCCTAAAGATTCCAATTAATAGCAAAAGTAACATCCAGTTAGAACTTAAAATAAGAACTTTTTGATCTCTTTTCAGCGTTCCTGTTATCTCCTTAAAGCCTCGGCCTCACATCGACAAAATTAACCAGACAAGCAAATTTAAACATGTCACAGAACATACAGCTTGCATTTAAATGGTTTCTCACACTTCTGTGCCGTCTCCAAAAATCTGACTGGTTGTTGTATTTATTTGTTCAATAATTTTCAAAAAGGTCTGCTTTTGTAGTTCCTGACTGGCCTGTTACCAATCAGTTCTTATCATGCTATATAATCTGCTAATTCCAAGCAGCTGAAAACAGCCATACTTACAGGCACTTCTAACAGTTGATGTATGGTAAATGGTAGGTACAGTTTATCTGAATACAGAACAGGGTTAGTCGGTTGTAAAAGAAGATAAAATGAAAATTTCCTTTGTATATTCCTGCTGCTGAAATAAAAAAACAAAAAAACAATTAAAATTTTGTGATTTTTACACGCTTTTAACATTGGTACAAATAAAGGTCTAGGATGCTCCACATATTTTTCATCAGTGATTGAATTTATTTTCAGCTTATTCTGTCATATCAAAGCAGTATAAGGCTGTGTTATGACAGAAAGAGATTCCTGCTTCTAGGATATTGGTTGTAATGTATAAATGTATTGCAAAAAACTAGAATGATGTTTGTGCAATTATTCTTGCTGAATGGATCCTATTTATGTGTCTCTTGTCTAGTTTTGCTACCCTTGAGAAAAGCGGTCTTCTTTTCTACAACGGACGCTTCAATGAGAAGCATGATTTCATTGCTTTGGAGCTTCAAGATGGACAACTGGTCTTCAAATATTCCACAGGTACCTCATCAGGGCTATGCCAGCACTGTTTACATTGCCTGAACAAAGCATTGCGGGAGGGTGAATATAGCCCATAAGTCCACTGTATTTTTCTCATAAGGCTCTATTTTTTTTCTTGTCTGCCATGAACGTGTGCAGACTGTGGAAAGAAAATTTCCCCGCAGGGACCATATGTAATAATCTGTCTTCTTGTGCCTCTTGGGAGGGAATGCTTTGAGTCAGAACAAAAACAGTAATGTTATTAAATTTTATTTCTGTTATTTTTCACATTGAATGGCCTATATATCTCTAACATCCTAAATACCATTAGTTTATGCTTTATTCTTAAAAATAAAGAGTGATTAATAAGTTCACTTGGTCTAGTTAAATTGCCCTCCATCTGCCTGCAGGTGAATCGTCCACTCAGGTGAGCCCCTTCTTACTTGGTGGCGTGAGCGATGGAAACTGGCATACGGTTCACATCCATTACTACAACAAGGTGCGTTCACCACTCATCTCAGCCGTTCTCTACAATTTTTATTCCTCCACCTACATCTGATCTAGAACACCTTTCACAAAGAAAATATTTCAGTTTGCATTTCACTTGTTGTTGTTTGCTCTTCTGATGCGTTGGCAGGAAAGTTTTTTTTTTGCCAACAAAGCCCTTTGATTTGAGATGATGTGTTTCTGTCTGTGTTTTTTTTATGTGGGCGTTTGCTTGTCTCCGATATATCCATGCATATTCGCTGCACATCTTCTTTAATTTTCTTCATTTTTTTTTGCTTAATTTTCCTCAGCCAGCTACACGCTATGTGAGTATGAATGTGTGTCAGGGTGTACAAAAACCATCCCTCTTCCCTAACTTCTCTATTCTGTCTTTCTTTCCCTTTTTTTGAAACAAAAAAACCCTATAGGAAAGTTGACAATTGTCTTCTGCGTGCTACTACGTGTTCTGCTATTATGTTTTCTTTTATCCTGCTTTTATTTCTTGTCACACTAACACTGATTTCCTCCCTGTCCTATTAACATTTTGCACAGTTGCACATTAGTTACGGTGCTGAAACTGATTCGTATTTGATGATTTAAATTCTTTAACAAATATAGGCTGCTCTTTTCCCTGCATGTCACCTTGTCTTAACACATTTCTTTACTTGGGATTTATCTTTGGATTGCTATTTAAACTAGCATGTATTATGTATGTGTTCAGCCCAGACGCAGTTTGATCGGAGAAGCCCAGGGTCCATCGGACGAGAAGATAGCCGTGGTGAGCGTCGATGATTGTGACACAGCTCTCTCGCTTCGCTTTGGTTCACAGCTTGGAAATTATAGCTGTGCTGCACAGGGCAAACAAACCAGCAGCAAGAAGTGAGTTTTTGTCTTTTCTCTTTGTTTATTTATTCATTTGTTTCATTTTCTCTGATTATGAAAACAGATATGTATTTGGAGCAGAGGTTAAAACAACCAAATAAAAAAAAAAAACTTGTTTTAAAAAAATATATTACAGTAGCAGCCATTCAAAATGACCTTTCCCAGTCAAACGCCAGCCGAATGGCTGCCCACTTCCATGCAACTCCCAGCAGAAGCCCCTCCAAGTTCCAGACACTGGAGTGACCTCCTCTTGCATATTTTTTTACTTTGACTCCACCCTTTAACTAATTTACAGGGTCTGACCAGGAGATGGGGCTTCTCTTGATGCTGCATTCACACCAAAAGCAGCAAAGGCAGCAAAAACGCGCGTGCTGCTTCATTTTTTATGCTTGGAGCGCAGAAAAAGTGGAAAAGTGGGTCTGATGCGTGTTTGGGCAGAGCTACCCTATCATTTCTTTGCCTGTAACAATGGCAGCTATATTTGCTGTGATAAGTGGGTAAAAAGTAGTTTTAATGTTTTTTAAGTGAGAAAGTCCGCCTGAAAACTTAATCAGTGCAGTCAGTTTATCCAGATTACCATTCTGCCTTGAAATATTGTTTTTCACTGTCGGAGCCGCTCAGACCCCCACGTACCGGAGGTGCGCTGTCATTGGGAATCCCATTTAACAGCAGCCTCTGGCCAGGTCATCTCTTTGCGGTTTGCCGCGGTGGGTGGAAGGGGTTTTTCATGTACGTAATCGAAACTGCAGGCACCAGGATAATAAAAGTGAACGTGTTTTGCCGGCAGATTTCGGCACCTGTTCACTCTTGAAAAGGTTGTATAAAAAGTCAACAGTTTTCTTGATTAAAGAATGAAAACCAAGAGTTCAAAGGAACTTAAAACTGTTGACAGTTTCAGACCCCCTAAAAGGACATGCTTTCTGCTATTCCACTCTACTAATTAATTAATTTAATTTAAATTCTCATATGTTTAGTTATGGATTTTATTTTCAGTGTGCTGAGTGGAAACCTCTAAATGGTCTCCAACCCTAGGCCTTCAGTGGTGTTTACAGAGTTGTGGCTCAGATACCTTTCATCAAATGTGATCTTGGACTGATCAGAGGCTTGGCATTTATTCAAAGGCAACTTCCACAAAGTAACTGTTGTCAGTGTGTGTGCCAACTGGAAATTATAAAAGTATTTGTTTGTTTGTTAAGGCAAATATCTGGCATATATTGAGTTATTGTTTTATGGTATGTGTAAAAAAGTTTTCTTACTTTTAAAAGAACTGTATTTGTATTTCCGAATCTAGACAATCACTGGTACAAAGTACTGTAGTTGCTTGGTGCTATTTCCTTTTACATAAAAGGCCACTGATGTTTTTAAATTAGACTTTAAAAATCAGATAAGTAAAAATTTTTCTTATGCCCAGTAATCAAAGAAACAAAAACAAAAAAAACAGTAATAGAATAATGAAGCACAGATCATTGCTGTCTAATCTGTTTGAGCTCTGCCCTGAAGACCTTGGAAGATGATCTTTAGGTGATGATGAGACTATAGAAGGCTTTTTGGAGACCTAGGGCATTGACACTGAGCCAAAATTATTTCCATGTGTTTTTTAATTAACTTCTCTGCCTGACTGGTGTTAACAATCATTTATTTGTCACAAGATCCTGATTGTGGGCATAAAGAAAAACTGTTTTTCACTTAAAAAAAAACAAAAAGGACACAAGCATGTGTCGTAAAACTTATCTTAACTAGTAAATGTATTACCCCACTGTGTTAAACGTTTCTGTGAAGGCCTCTGAGGTTTATTAGAAACACAGGTGAACAAACTTCATCACTGAGAAGCCCGTAAGGTAGTTAAAGGATCAGGTCGGATTATTTGCCAACAGGGCAAAACGCTGTGTGCGGTGAAAACAAATATCCTTCACTGAAACATGGTGGTGGCACTATCATGCTGGGTTTGGAATTATCATGGGTTCAAATAGACCAGCAGCAAGGCTTGATTTTTTTTTTACCCCCAGATGATCTCCAATCAGCTTCAAGCAGAATCAGTATAAAGGTTTTCCTACATGATCCCAGCTTGTAGAAACTCTTAAAAAGACCTGCAGCATGTTTTTGCAGTGAAAGATGTTTCTATAGTGTATTGATTTTGGGTGGCTGAATATGTATGAAGCTTAAAGGAATTTGATTTGGTGAATAGATTTAATATCTGGTATTTTTCCATGTAAAAATCAGGGACACATACTGCAGTTGTATAAACTAAGCTCCCAATAATAAACATTTAAGTCAGTGGCTGTAATACAACAAAATGTGAAAACATCAGGAGGTATAAACAGCTATTAAACCCAGTATATAATGTAGAGTGTATTTTTCTGATTTGCTAAACAAAATTATTTACCCCAGAAGCATTGAGATGCACCAACAAGTGCATAAAGCCCAGACAGTTGATGCATGGTCACATTTTCACAAAGCGTCGTGCCACAGTGTGAATCTCTGTTCTCCCTCCATAATCTCCTACCAAGCTGTCCTGTCAGCTCCAGATGAAACAAAAAAAGAATAAGAAACAGAACAAAGATGAAGGTCGAAGACTCACACTTCAACACGGTTTTTCTTTTCCATTTATCCATTAGCAGCTCAGCCTCCGCTGAGTCAGACACCACATCCTTTCCTAATGTCTGTCTGCTAATATTTGCTCCGGCTGTTACTTAAGCTTTCGTTGATTCTGTGCAATCATTTGTCCTCTGGCTTTTATTAAACATTTTCTATGGTTATCCGTTTCTTAGCATACAGCGCTTGTTGTCATAGTCCTTAGGAAAATCTAAGCTCACTCTCCAGTAAAGACATAAACACATAAATGCTCACAGACAGTACAAGAATGAAAATCCTATTTTCTTTTAACCCACAGAGCTGTAAATGTGCTTCCTTCAGTATCGTCGTTCTCACATAGTTTTTTCCTCCATCAGTCTCTTCATCCACCTCACTCTTTCCACTCTCCCATCTTTGAATTCAACTTTAATCTTTTATTTGTTTCTCCAGTCACATCCACAGGGATCTATGATCACTTGCTATATTTTAGTGTCCATTAACATCTTCAGTACCTCACATTTTACTTTTCATAGTATCGACCACCTCTCCAGAGATTTGCTCAAAGCATGTTTAATCCATTGCATGTTCTGCACTTGTCTTTGCATGCCTCCTCCTTATCAAGCTCCAATGTTAATGTTAACAGCATCAGAGCTGTATACATTTATTTCTTTGGTGCTTAGAATATTAATTTCAAAATCTCATATATTTTTTTGAAGTTTACCTTTGATGCCACATTTAATCTGGATTTTGTAAATCCCTTTCCCCACATATGCTCTCCTCTTACATTCCAGGCTCTTTTTTTTTTTCATCCGTTTCCTTCATCTTTCACGAATAATCCTGTTTTTATGGTCTTAAACGTTTTTTTTCCCCTTTCTTCTCATTCCTGCTCTTGTTTCTTAGGTCTCTGGATCTGACTGGCCCTTTATTTCTGGGTGGAGTCCCTAATGTGCCTGACAACTTTCCCTTTGGCAGCAGGGAGTTTATCGGTTGCATGAAAGACCTGCACATTGACAACAAAGCACTGGATCTGGCTGGATTTATTGCCAACAATGGGACACTTTCTGGTCAGTGCTACTACTCTCATGTGTTGCTTAAAAAATGATAATCATTATTCAATAATGATCATTTCTTTTTCTTATAAAAACAAAAATTCTTAGCTGGCCCTTTAAACAAATGGCAGTAAACGAAGGTTATATGAATATTTGTAAAAGTTTTCATTATTATAAACACAATTTGCAGAGAACCTCACATGTAATGGTCCTATCTAATTCATGTTATTTAGAATTTAATGATATAAAGCTAGATTTTGATCATTAGAAAATATTGTGGATTTATAGGATGTATCACTAACTGTCTTTAAAGCAACAAGAAAGTGCATGATTTAATCACAGAATATTTCTAGAGGTGTAAGAGTAAAGGTTGAACATCAGTTGTTCATTTAGTAAAGTTTAAATCCAAGATGCAAAGAAAGAAACCCATTAGAGAGGGACTCTGTGTTGTTAAAAATGTATTCCTTTTTTAAAAATACAATATCATTGCTTAGATATAGTCTTCTATTCAGTTAGTAAAGGTCATTTAGTCATGTTACAGTTAACTTCACAGAGGTTTTGGGAGGTTCAGTATTTTAACTCAAAAATGAATGCTGTCTTTGTTAAAAAATTAAAAAATCTGCTTTAGAAATATTTTGTGTCTCTTATCCACACTGAAAAAAGTTACTTTTTGGTGCAGTAAACTCTAATAGAGTATTTGTCATAATTTCTACTCTGTATTAAATACTAGAGTTTTTGAAGTAAAAATAAACTTTTTTTTTTTTATGTAATACATGAATTTTGGGGAAAGAGTAAGTATTTGTTAGACTTCCTTATACAATTTTAATGTTTAATAGCAGTATAAACATAAACAAATGAACCTCAAAATACTACATAAACTTTACATTAAAAATGTACCGTTTTGAAAAGCACGTACGGTGCATGCGCACTGTAGGTCACAGCAGGACTGATTCTGCTTAGAGTCTAGACGTTACAGGATCACACACAGAGCAGTCCCAACGGCAGTCATTTTGGCAGGGAGCTACGGTCCTGCAAAAGCCTTCTCGCTGCTCATGGGACTGATATATGCCCTGAACTTGGTATACCCTCCCGCTTTGCTCTACACTTTTTCTTCCAAAAACTTTTATTTAAACTGTCCCCAAAAGTAAACACCCTGAAGTTGAAGATGCTTTCCTAATGCATTCATGACTTTGTCAAAAATGTGGCATCAAATGCCAAGAATTAGCAGTGGGTTCCAGTTAATCTTAGCGGAAGGTTACCTGTCATTAATGTTTTTGATTTTTTGTCAAATAAGGTATATGTTATATTGCAAAAAATAACAGATACATTTATTCAAATATCTAGAAGAGATTTTTTTCTCCATTGAGAATAGTTAGACAGTTTAAGCTGTTAATTTTTAATTATGTTGATTTTGTTTCATTAATGTTGTAATTTAATTCTTAAAAGTCCACTAGTCCGGACGATTGGTTTAAATGTTGAAATTGCACTTTTTCAGTGTTTATACGATTTTTTTATTGTATATTTGAGTAGTGACTATATTACCAGATCTGTTTTGGATGTGGTGTATATGAAACACTGTGTATTTGTTGTTTGCAAGTCATATCAACCTAATGTTTTTTTGGTACAAAAAGATGTGTTACCATGTCTGTATTAGGCAACTAAAATATGAGCTTTTCCTTATTGATCTGCAGTGCTGTATGAGTTGCATGTCTGTGGCATTTTATGAATGACCTTTCATAGTTGTGTTTTTTCTTTTTTTCTTATTTTTTTTTTTTTTACAGGTTGCAGTGCCAAACACCCATTCTGTAAGTCTAACCCATGTCAAAATGGGGGTACTTGCAGGGTAAGCTGGGAGACCTTCTCCTGTGATTGTCCTCTAGGATATGGAGGAAAAGATTGCAGCCATAGTAAGAGCCTTTAATTGTAAATCTCCTGCATTACTATTAACCGTTACAGTGATGGTAGTTTGATATAATCTAACATAGTGGACTAATTATGGGTAATTATTTCATGGGATCTTACCCATTTGAAGTAATTCAACTAACAAATAAGATAGGGTCTTGTGCATGTTTAGGTTAAGCAACACTACAGTATTATCAGTTCGACTTGATCTCTTTAGCTGCATTTCCAGAACAACATTCATTAATTTGCGCTTTCTTATGTTCTTGCTATTTACCTACTGAGCTTTTATATTAATCTCTTTTACAGCTGAAAGCTTTGGAAAAATTTAAGACTGCTTGATTGTATGAGTGGAAGCATTTTCATCACTAGAGTTTAATTATATGTGGATGTCAATTAAAAAGAAAACGGCAATAAAACAACACTGGGTAATTATAAGTATGCTAGAAACTTTCAGAAACCTTCCCTTTGAGATATACACTCTGGAAAAGTGGTTTTACTTATTGGGTATGATTAGATGTAAATAAACACCCTGATTCCCCATTTAGTTGATGCCACTTGTTTAGTTTTTTTTTTTTTTTATCTGTAGGTAAATTATGTTGTAAAGCACCCTTGTTTTTGTATCTTTAAGCAACACTGTGTACATTTTAGCCACTAGGGGTGCTAGACCTTTAACTTCCAGGTTTCCATCCCTAAGGCTAGCAATGATGCACATTGCATAATTAAACAGTCTGCTACCTTGTTTTGATATCTGGTAGCAGACCACTTTGGACCAGCAGATGCAAAAGTTATAGAAATACTGGTAAAGACAAGACCACATTCACCCTCTAGGTTAGCTGAGACCTCAATAAAACAGCACTTTGGGTCACATGACTCATTCAGTGACCCATTTGAACCTATCAAGTTACATAGCCAAGTTTTTGAGAAGTGTGGAGTATGGAGCATCAATATGGACAAGTATGTACACTGACCTGAAAAATCTTTAAAAATATCTCACATTAAGCTTATAATTGGGTCGAAAATTATGCAGTTTTGCTTCAAAGAAGAATTAAATCAGTATAAATCATTGCGTTTTCATTTGTTTATACATAAGTCCATCGATTCAGTAATTTATCATATCAATTAACATACTTTGTTTTCTATAATTTGCTATAGTTTTTATTCATACTTTTTCGTCAAATTTTTTTTCGAAGCCATGCCACACCCACATCGGTTTCTTGGGAACAGTGCCCTTATGTGGGACCTGAAGAATGACGTGACCATCTCCACACCCTGGTACCTGGGCTTGGTGTTCAGAACCAGAGCAAGAGAGGGGACGCTGCTGAAGGCCCAGGCTGGTCAGTACACCAGTCTGCTGTTCCAGGTGGGTACAGACACAGTATGGTTTGTTTCTACTGATGCCATCAAAGCCAATGCTAATCATAAAAATGAAAATAAGCACATGTTTTTTAGCTGTATCTAAACCATTTCTATGCATGCAAGAAAGTTATGCAATAAGGCTCAAGAAATGGGTGCCTATTAGAGTCCCTTTAAGTCCCTTCCATTGACCATAAACTCATTCTTACCATTATTATTGCATAGTTCAGAGTGAAAGTTAATTGGTCCCCAATGCTCACCACTTTCACTTCGTCATGACTAAGGATTTTTAACATGGATAATCAAATGTTCTTCAGACATGGAAAGAAAGTGGAATAATCCTTGAATTTAGAATATTAGCAGGGGGATTTAAAATATAGTTTGGTGGACTATATTTCATTATTGTATTGACTATAATAATAATTGTTAATATTTTCGAGCACATCTGAGTGTTTAACTCCTTAGTCACTTACATTGACATCTGCATACCATGGGAACATTTAGGCTAGTAATTATGTTATTGGATGCATTTTAATGAATGTTATGAATTTTTAGCTTTCATATCTTATTGACAAATAAAACACTTTTTTAAACATTATCTTCTTTCTAACCTCAAGTTTGGTATCTTGGAATGTAAATGTTTAAAATGTGGACTAAATACTCCAAGAATAAAGTATGGAGAGACTCTGGAAAGCCTTCTGACTCTTTGCAATTTCAGTCCAAACATATTTAAACTGTAACATATGCTTTTTTGTTTTGAGTTTTTTTTTATTATTATTATTATTTTTTTTTTTTAGTCTTTACAGCACTAGTGGCTCATTTTTCTGACAGTAGACTGACAGGAAAGGGGGTATGGGAGAGGGGGAGAGATATGCGGCAAAGGACCACAGGTCGGATTCAAACCTGGGTCGGCCGTTTCGAGGAATAAGGCCTCTGTACATGGGTTATGCGCATTAACAACTGTTCCACCTGCACACCTGGATGCTCTTTAGCAAAAGCTAGAAAGAAGATGATACTGTGGTATCATTACCTTAAAGTTAGCCAGGAGAGCTTCTGTACATTCATCTTAAAAAATGTCTTATGATATTGTCTGTGAAGCTGTTTTCTACATACACAATGTTATCACGCAAACAACATTTATGTTGTGGGGTTTTGTTAGTGAACCCAACAGGAAGTTTTGATAAATTGATAAATTGTAAACTTAACAAAAAGGGTAAATCAAGAACTGCTTCCTTTGTTTTTACAAAGTAAACAAGGGCTTTGAGCTCCAAGTAGCTTCATCTTACTCACTTCACTTTGATGGGAAATATAATATAATATGATAACATGGACTCTTTCAAATAATTATATAGAATATGCTGAATTTTTATATGAAATCTCATGCCATGAGATTTCATCACACCTGTTGCTAGCAAAGTTGTTTGCCTCTCTTTAAAATAAATTCTGATTAAGGTTGTTCTGAAGAGCATAAGACCTTTTCTCTCTTATGCTGTCACAGAAATTATACTCTCATTTTCTTTAGGTTTTATGCTGTGTTTTGAAGCTATTCCGCTTTTATTAGACTAAATCCTGCCAGAAGCATATTGTAAAACACTGTTTTGAGGCAGCTAAATGTGTTAGATACAGTCCCATAGACGCTGACAATAACACATAATTCTCAGAATTGCACAATGGCTGTCTATTTGGTGTTTAATGCTAAATTATAAGATGCTGTGTAATGTACTTTAATAAGAGCCTTTTCGTTCTTAGAAAACTAATAAAAGCTTTAAAAGTCCCTGAATATTTGCTGCAGAGCAGCCATGTCATCAGATTTCATGCTCTAGGTTAATAATGTAAACACACTCACTAGAACATAAACTACATGCACAGATCTTTTCTTCCAACCCTCTTCTTGTTTTATAATCCCGTTTTTCTGTCATATGTTTTTCCATCTCTTACAGGTGATAAACGGTCAACTGGTTTTCTCAATAACCCATGGCTCCACCAGACCAGTACGCTTGCGTTTGGATCAGGTTCAAGTGGCAGATGGCCGTTGGCACGATCTCCAGCTGGAGCTGCGAGACGTCCACAGCGGCCGTGAGACGCGCTACGTTGCCACGCTGCGCCTCGACTTTGGGCTCTATCAGGTAATATGCCTTATACAGAACTAACTGAAAGGTATTAAGATGTTCCAGCAACTAGGTCATTATTCCTGGGCTCCATATTTATAAGAAACCTGAGGAACCACTTTTTTTTTTACAGAGTTTCCAAACTTAATAAAAAAAATATATTATTCACCCCTTTAATTCAATGTTATTAATTTTGTTCAGGCCTTTTGGCCCATCAAGGTATAAACCTCAGATAGAAATGTTTGCAGCAGGCACAGGTTCTCTAAAATCCCTGCACAGAATCAGACTCCCCCTAGATGTGGGACACTAATCCTAGTTTGCCTAATCTCTGCTGGATTACTGTGTCAGATTATGATGGAGGACGTCTGTATGATGTGTGTGTCTGAAGAAAGCTGCAGCCCATGAGTTTAAAGAAGCAAATACGCTTTATTATTTTTGATTTGGCTAAAGTCGAGTAAACGCTTGTTTCATGTTGGGATTCTTAAATGATCCGACGTTACATAATAACTTTCATCTCTTTGCTGCTGTTAACCAGGATGTTCCTGAAAGTGCATCAGAGAAAACACAGAAATAACTGCAGAAAGCATTTGGAGATGTGAAATTAAGAGTAAACATTGCAGGAGGAAAGGGAAACACTAAATATTTTTTTAATAGTAAAGAAATTGCTGTTTCTCTCCGATCCTGCAGTAAAAAAGTGGAAGAATGTGTATCAAATCATTGGGTACATTCATACTTAGAAGAATATTTTACATTTTATCCAGTTTTTGCACGGATTACAAAATATACCACAGCATATTTCCCAAAGCAGTGATTAATGGAGCTTGTTCGTTTTATGCTCATTCTTCTTAGAACTCCTTATCCTCCTGAAATCTGGCCTTAATGGGAGAATGTCCAAGGTAAAGCCATGGTCTGAAGAAAGCCAGTAGCCTAAAACAATTTAGAGTCTTGGACAGCATTTTACCTTCCATCAGAACAAAAACCACATTTAGCCAGAGCTCAAATAAAATAATTCAGATCAAAAACTACTGATAGGCCTTCATCATCCAGTCTGACTTCTGTAGTTATTGCTATCCTGCAGGGGAGTGTCGAGCAAAAGCTGTCTTCTTTTGCAAAGCTGGTAGAAATTTCTTTTTAATTGTGATTTAAATAAAGTTGAGCTGCACTACTTTTGTACAAAAGCAAACATTTACCATCTACTTAAGAATACAGATCTTCTTTTCATAATTTTTTGCATCTTATTTATTTTTGGTAGTTTAAATTTTATGATATATAACCATTACTGTAAATATATGACAAAAACGATAATTGTTCCTTTAAACTAACCCCTTCACCTTCCTGTCTCTGCTTCCTATCAGGGAACAGTGATCGTGGGAAATGAGATTCATGGCTTGAAGGTGAAACATCTCCACGTTGGAGGAGTGCTGGGCTCTGGCGAGGTCCAGAGCGGGATTAAAGGATGCATACAGGTGAAGATTAAAGCAAAGAATTTTTCATGTATTTCAGACAGGGATAAGTTAAAGCTTTCAATGTCAGCCATTTCTCATCTATTTCTTACGTCACTGATGACCCGATTGCTTCTAACTACAGGGAGTTCGTCTGGGCATGAGGCCAGATGCCCCTGCACTCCCGCGTCCATCCAAAGCCATCAAAGTAGAGACTGGCTGTAACGTTGGAAATCCCTGTGTTTCATCCCCTTGTCCAGCTCACAGCCGCTGCTCTGACGTCTGGGAGCGCCACACCTGTATATGTGAACCTGGTGAGGGCATGCGCAAATTGTTTCTGATGTGAAGTTTTTCTTCAGCCGGCTATACGTAATACTTTACTGTTACTGCAATATTTGGAAGGCCTAGGCTGTAGATTTTTTAACTTCAGTTCCTAGCTGGGAATTTATTTCTGCATTCTGATGAGTTTTCAAAGTATCAGACATCACAGCTAACTCTCCACACCCTCCTTCACCTGGCCACTTTTTCTGTGCTTTGTCTAATGCAACGAAAAAGGCCTTGTAGGAATCGGATCAATATGACTCCAAATAGGCCTTAGATCAATAAGACATGTGAATATTGGAGCAGTTTTTAGTAAGTGAACAGAGCTCAGATCTGCCCTTGGAATAAAAGATTACTCAAAGTCGGCTCTCTTTTTGCCAAAAAGGTGAGAGGCTCTGTCCAGAATCCCTTCAATAGTTTAACTTTCTTATCTCAGAAGACATTAAGCCTTTAAATAAAGGACCCGTTCAGTCGCAGCAGCAGACTGCGATCCTCTTCCATCATGCATGTGCACAACATTGGTTTTCTTTTATGTTGTTGCTAGAGGGGGGCAAACATCTGCAAATACTTTAGAATGGATGCTATGCTCCTTTAAAGATAGATGAATGCTGTATTCCATTCTAGCTCTAAAAATGTACTGCTGTGCTTTAAGTTTGAATTTCTTAGGTGTTTAGGCTTTCTGAAGGGTCTTAAAAGACATGAAATATTATACTATACAATCATCTCAACTTCAGGCCTCATAAGTCTTAAATAAGTTTTATTTTTTATTATTTGTATTGTATTTTTTTTCATTAACTATTTCCCTCTTTTCTTTCATTGGGTTAAAGCTTCTATCCAACCCATACATCAGAGTTCTAACAGTGGAATTTCGGCAATATTATAATTTGACAAAACTAGATTCCTTTGTAAAGTGCGACAAACAGAACATTTCTCTTATGCATAAAAGTAAAGCAGCAAAGAAAAATAAAACTGTCTATTTATAGTTTTTACAGGGAAATAAAATCAAGACATTCTGATGAGGTGTTTAGATTCAGATTTTTGTCATGAAAAGTTTTTTAGTAAAAGTGGGTTTGCTAGTTAACTGAATTTAAGGAAAGTTTGCTGGTGTGAGGTTTTGGCTTTACTGTGCTAAATTGCACTGCGGTAATATTAGACCTCGCACAAAGGAACTGGAGTCACAAAATACCAACTTCAATAAAACAAGCTCCATTTAACATCAAGATAAAGTTAAAGATCAGCCACTAGATCATTGAGTTATTCAGTTCCCCTATTTGTATGATTGATATAGATTTAATCTCTACCAACTCCAGTTGTTTTAAACTTTTATTTTAAACTTTGTATTTTTTTGTTAGTCTTTTGCTTATAGATATGAGCAAATTCAGACAAATAACAGTTGTTGTATTTTTCTCTCGCCTTTAATTCATAAGGTAATAACCACTTTTCCTACCTAGAAATGCATTTTCCCAGTCTACTGCATTTTGTAAGTATGAGAGGATGAGCAATTCACTGGAATACAAGGCTTCTTAAGGATTCTTTGTAAAAGATCCTAATAAATGTGACATGGTATTACACAGGGGTGGATTTAGGAAATGTGGGGCCCTAGGCAAAGACAGGCAGGGGGCCCTCTGAATTGAGAAGACAACACATAAAACAGAACCTTGATAAAGATACAGAAATTTCAATAGAATAGACATACATTTTTTGTTCTACGTTTTGTCCCTCTCTTCTTGTCCCTTTTCTTGTTATTTTAATCTCTATGTTTTGTACTCAGCTGACTTTTCATGCGACGGCAAAATAAATGAAAGACTTTTTCCAACCACTAAGCCCATTCTAACTTCGCTTATTGGTCCTTCCTTTGTTTCCAAAAAGGCGACGGCAAAAGTAAATAACTCAGTCCTTCTTTTCACTGTAGACAAGCCATGATCTGCTTATCTGTTCTCCATTTTTCATTTGTATGAAATATTAGCTGCGTGAATCATGACAGGAGACAAGATAGAGGAGAGCAGGGTTACAAATCTACTTGCTCTGGAGAGCAGAGTTTGGTGATTTTATATGTTGTCGCCAAAATCTCCAGCAGCAGAAAAAAGTCGCTAGATTTGACACTAGGCACTTTTTTTCTTCAAAAAAGTGCTAGACGGGTTTGAAAAGTCGGCAAATATAGCAACGAAAGCACTAATTTGCCAACACTGCTCTTGGCACCGTTTGTTTTAAAACGGTTTGCTGCTGTCTGTTTAGACCTTTTTGCACATACAGTATATGTACATGCAAATTGACTGATCCAATGTGGTGGACACTGAAGGGGAGGGTCTGAGACACACTTAATAATATAAGCCATGTGATGGTATTTGAAGAAATTGTTGTATTAACCATACATGTAAACAGAGTTTTATTGAGCCCCCAGAAACTTGGGGCCCTAGGGTTGCCTAATTCTAAATCCCCCTCGGTATTATATGATGTGGTGTCAGTGAAATTGTCTGTACTGGAATAAAATAAAAAGATGTCACAGCAAAGTGACGGAGGCTCCACCACTGAGACAAAGGAACATAATTACATGCCCATATCTCCATAGGTGTCTGCCAGCTTTCTGAATGGGTTAAATTGGTAGTTGGGTAAACATAATGAGCCTTCAGTCACTCTGGATTCAGAAAAAAATGGTTGAGGACAGGCTAACCTCCAAATCCTGTTAAGCGAATATAACGAGGACAAATTAATATGCTGAGAAAAAAAAAAAATGTTTTAAAGGAAACATGGAGAAAGAAGAAGAGACTGATGAGAGAAAATGAAAAACATGGTGTTTGTAGAGAGATGGAGAGAAGGAGAGAAACAATAGGAATGCTAAAAAATACAAAGGAAGAACAAAGGCACCAAAATCTTTTAATGATTAATGAGCCGAAAAAAGCACGAGGCAGAAAAGAAAGTTTGCCTCGTTTAAAACCCAAAGTGCAAAAATGTACAAAAAGTTTTGAGGCAACCCAAAGAAGATGGAGAGAAAAAAATCTAATCAAATAGCCTGAAAGCTTTTGTGACACATTTGGGATTAGATGCACTAAAAAGGCCCACACAAAAGTGCAGGGAAATTAAGATGACAGCCGGGTTCACAACAGAGAAACAAGTGTGAAAGCTGAAGAGAGAGGGTGAACAGACGTCTGGTAATAAATCAGAGATTTATTAACAACAGCTGCAGGTCAGTTCTGCAGGTATTGATTAAACATGTAAGACCAACTGAGCAGAGATGATGAAGGCATTTTATTCATACTTATGATTAAAGGAGAGAGGGAACCAAAGGTCTGATGGTATATTAATGAAGAAAGAAAAAGAAGAACAGAATAACTCCATTACTCCATCAGACAGCTCATACTACATTTGATTGCCTCTCCCAGTTTTTTGGCGCTTTGTTCTCCTTGCCTGATTTTATATCTAGTAGTTCAAAGGTATTATAAAACAACTGAACAGGTTTGATTTTTTTAATCAGGCAAAATAATAATACTGTTGACCAATCATATCAGAAAAAAAACATCAAGTTTGTGAGACACATGAGCTTCTGACTGTTGTTTATTTCATTCACTCTCTTTACAAAAATGTGCACTGATTGGATGAGCCCTGTCTTACACACAATCATTACATCCAGTATTATGTAAGATTGAATCTTTTTTTCTGAAGAAGAACTTTTTAATTCAATGATGTTCTTCTGTATCGAAAGTAACCTCAAAGGATTAATATTGCAGATTGTTGTCAACACTAACCCTGTCGATTTTTTTGCTGTCAGATTAGGATTTTTATCACTCTGCAAGATATATCTATTAATACTTTTTTATCGGGCATTAATCTTGTGAGAACCCAACTACACCAAGGTTCAATTATCTCATCCTAGAACTTTAATTTCTGTGGTTCTGGCACATGCTGGTGGAGAAGTGCTTAAAGTTATTTCTTCATTTCTATTTAATTATTAGAACATTTGAAAGTCATAATGAATTAAAGCCTAAGATTTTGAGCAGTAAAAGTTATTTTATAATGCATTTCAGTTTTCAAACATTTTCTAATGCTTTGTTAAAAAAAAAAGCGACATGCTCTGTGATGATTTTTAAAAGATCAGATTTTTAAAAGAAATGTAAGAAAGAAAAGAAATGTGTGTATTAGATACCAGAATGGTAAAGAATAATAAAGTTTAAAACCAGTGTTGCACCGATGCCATTTTTTGGCCCTGGTACCAACATCTGATACCTGGCTGTGCAGTATTGGACGATACCAATACGATCTGTTTGAAATTGATGTGTGTGTGTGTATATGAAGAGCTGCATACTACTTGGATGTAAAATAAATGCCATCATGGCTTTGTCAAGCTGCTGCCTACCTTTGTGAAGCAGGAAAAAGACTAATACAAAGTGAATCCAGTAGAACTTTTTATTTCCTACCTGGAATGGGTGACAAGAGTTGAATAAACTTTTGGCTCTCAAATGGCCCTATTTGTTGGTACTCACCAATACCGATACCACTATTTTAGTGCTGGATCGGGGCCCTGCCCGATACTGGTATCGGTATCGGTGCAACACTATTTAAAACAAATATTGTTTACCCACAGGACAATTCTTCTGATCAGGTGGTGATTTGTGCTGAAACTTTGAAACTTTAAAAGTTATCTTCTCTATTCTACATGTAAACTGTTAAGTAGTTTTTACTTGATTAGAGGTCAAATATGCTGAAACTTAAGACACATTCAGTACAACTCTAGTTAAGGCTGCCACAGTTGCATCTAACTTTGGTTACATTTAAAACAAAGTAAGCAATAAAGAGAAGTTGATCAAAAGAAATGAACAGATCAAAGTAAAAGAGGATGGTGTGGAAGAGAAATGGCTGTGCTCTGAATGAAGGATATAGAGTTTAATTGTGGTAGAGCCTCAGGTTGAGAGCATAAGGAGGAAGCAGGCTAGTGGCATCCTCTACTAGCCTGCGAGCAAATGCTAACACCCTGACTCATTAACATGAAGCACATGCA